GAAGCTAACTCTCTGGAAGATGATCAGGCGCATCTGTTATAAAAAATGAAGAGATGAAATTTTACTCTCAAATATTGACATTGATTTCTCATCTCTTGCTGTTATGACATCTCATGGCAGAAATGGGTGCAAATGCCACAGACCAGTGACTAGTACAACCAAGTACCTAACATAAGTCATGTAGCTTCCTAGGCTTTTAAAATGGGGGTGAGGAAGTATATAAAAAGGAGCTTATTCCTTTGTTGCCTTACATAAATTATTTACTGCCAGTGTGACACCCATCTACAAGAAGGGCAGGGAAGGGGATCAGGGGACTACAGGCCTGTCAGCCTGACCTCGGTAGCAGGGAAGATGATGGAACGGTTCATCTTGGGGGAGATCATGCGGCAAGTGCGGGACAACAGGATGATCGGGTCCAGCCAACATGGGTTCATAGAGGGCAAGTCCTGTTTGAACAGCCTGATCTCATGTGATCAGGTGACCCATCTAGTGGATGACAGAAAAGTGATGGATGTTGCCTGCCTGGACTTCAGTAAGGCATTTGACACCTTCTCCCACAGCATTCTGCTGGAGAAGCTGGTGGCTCATGGCCTAGACAGGTAAACTCTTGGCTGGGTTAGAAACTGGCCAGATGGCGGAGCCCAGAGAGTTGTGGTGAATGGAGTTAAATCCATTTGACATCCAGTCATGGGCAGTGTCCCTCAGGGCTCAGTTCTGGAACAGGTCTTGTTCAATATCTTTATCAATGACATGGACAAGGGGATAAAATGCACCCTCAGTAAATTTGCAGTGTTAATTTTGGGAGTGTCGATCTACTTGAGAGCAGGAAGGCTCTGCAGAGGGATCTGGACAGGCTGGAGCAATAAGCTGAGGTCATTGTATGAGGTTTAACAAGGCCGAGTGCTGGGTCCTACATTTGGGTCACAACAACCTCAGATAATGCTTCAGGCTTGGGGAGGAGTGGCTGGAAAGCTGTCGGGCAGAAAAGGACTGGGGGTGTTGGTGGACAGCCGACTGAACATAAGCCAGCAGTGTGCCCAAGTGGCCAAGAAGGCCAGTGGCATCCTGGCCTGTATCAGAAATGGTGTGACCAGCAGGACTCGTCGCTCGTGAGACCACACCTTGAGCACTATGTCCAGTTTTGGGCACCACAGGATAAAAAGGTTATTTTGCTGCTAGAGCAGGTCCAGAGAAGGGCAATGAGGCTGGTGAGAGGGCTGGAAAACATGCCTTATGAGGACAGGTTGAGGGAACTGAGGTTGTTTAGTCTAGAGAAGCGAAGATGGAGGAGAGACCTTATTGCTCTCTACAACTACCTAAAAGGAGATTGTAGTGAGGTTAGTGTTGGTTTGTTCTCCCAAATTACTGATGATAGGATGAGAGTAAATGGCCTCAAGTTGTGTTAGGGTAGGTTTTGATTTTATATTAGGAAGAATTTCTTTACTGAGACAGTGGTTAGACACTGGAATGGGCTGCCCAGGGAGGTGGTAGTGTCATCATCCCTGGAGATGTTCAAAAAATGAGTGTATGTAGCACTTGAGACTATGGTCTAGTGGTTAGGGAAATGTTGGGAGGAAGGCTGGACTTGATGATGCTAGAGGTCCTTTCTAATCATAGTGATTCTATGATTCTATGATTCTGTTGTTGGTTTGTAGACAGAGGCAATTTGACTTCAGCACCCAAAAGCTATTTGGGCAAGTTGCCCTATTTGTGACAGGTTAGACTTACTATAGCATATTTATCAAAACTTCTTGGGATTTCAGACTAACCATGGATACATTTATTTGGCACTTAACAATGATGTATTTATTGCCATTATTACTTGCCCATACATTTTGAAACTTACAGTACATATCTTTACATTGCATTTTAGCTGAAATATGAAAGCACTGGGATTTCCTTGTCATGCCTCTTATTTCAAATGTTTTAGTCCAAAAACAGAAGGGTAGATCATCTCTGACTTAACACTGACCCAGCTCTCCACTCTTTCTTGCCTGTTACACACCATTATCAATAGAGTCACAATGACATAAAACAGAAGAGTACAGTCAAAAATCAGATCCTTCCTACATCAAATCACTTTCCACATCTGTTTCCTATTTGTCTTATAATGGCACATAGTATTACCTTGGGAATATAGTCTGCTTTAACTGTCATGCCACTGACTTTATAGCCTTATCAAATATCCATTGGTGTGCACGTTAAGCAATTATCATCTACTAAGAAGAAATCCCACAAAAACATACATCGGTAATAACATTTTTCAATAATGGCTTGTAGCATTAGTGCCAATTTCTATTACTGTAGTGGAGGTCTAGCATTCTCTTCGGTTTACTGTTTTTATTTATTGTGCAAGTCCTAGAGATGGACCCTACAACAGAATTTCAAAACCAGTTCTCATTTTCATTATTTATTCTTTTCTGGTGAGAAGGAGCAAAGTCAGAAAACTGGATAGGAGCAAGGAATGTGTCTGGGCTATTAAGAAATACAAAGAAAGACACAAGGAAAGAAAGACATTTAATGTTGTGCAAGTTACTACAGGTACAGGAGGACTGTATAAATATAATCAGGCAGGCTACATCTACAAGATATGCCTTAGGAGATTGTGCTTGACTTCTGGGATCAAACTTCATGAAGCTATATCCAAACTTTTTATCTTACAGTGCAGTAAGCCAGATAGATTATCCTGCTAACAGTCCATTTTCCTATCAACTTTTTCTCCAGTAAATGTAGAGGAATGTGAAGTCCTTCTGATGCTCCTTTGAAAATAAGTAAGACACACACACAGAGATATGTGCGTGCATGATGTAATTAAACAAGCCTGTAATAAAAACTATTGCTTCTGACTCCCTTGCAGAAACATGAACTCAGTGGGTTTAAAATAATACCATTTGGAAGTATGTTTGGTCCCTGTCCTGGCCCATGCCTGTATTCAGTATGGACAAGCAGGATGGGGAAGGCACAGTGCCAGGGAGAGGACTGCTTCCAAATACTTAAATTCACTGCTTATGAGAAAGACATCAACTCTTTGTCTGAATGATCTCCACATTAAATAAACGTTAACAAAGCAACTGCTGATTAAAATTTGAGTTGTTGATTTTTTTTGCATCCTCCACAACATTGTGTAGTGCCAAGTCCCCAGCAGAGATCACTGGAGCATTGCCCTTGAGGGTGAAAGTATTGTGCACAATTTTGGGACTTTTACTTGCAAATCCAAGACAATGTAAGACTCTAGCGTTTACATGCTATTTAAGCTTTCATGAAGTTCTAGCCTGAAGACCTAGTCTGGGGAAGTGAAACTGAACAGGCAGCTTAGAAACAGCCTATAGCTGGCAGTTATGAAAAGGAAAGACCCACGCTCTCCACTATCATTGCAGATGGTATAATAAGGATGAAAAGTCACAAATTGCTCCTTGGAAAGTTCAATTTTGGAAAAAAAAAAAAACAAAACCAAACAGCTTTGATAAGGAGTCAGTGGAAGTTGCCCAGAAAGGTTATATAGTTATATAGTTTCCATTCCTGAAGGTTTTCAGGACTTGTCAAGATAAAACCAAAACTGACCTTACCTTGTGTTGTCATTAGTCTTCTTTCAAGTCCTCCTCCTGGACTTAACAATAAATAGAGAGCCCTTCCAGGCAGCAGCTGTATGATTCTGTCTTTGGAAAGGGATGATAAGAATAAGAAAGGGGAGCATTTCTTAGTCTGTGGAAGAAGTAAGTTCCCTAGGGATTTAAGAATCAAGGTAAAGAGATGATTTGTTATGAAATAAATAAGGAAAAATATTGTAGCATCTTCTTAGTTGCTTCCTAATATTAATACATATATTCTAGACATGTCTTCTGAAATCTTTTGTCTGTTTTGGTTTTTTTTTTTATTTTCTTAAAACAGATCAGAATGATCTCTGATCAATCAATAAGAAAAAAAGATAATGTATCAAGCTGTAGTTGGTATTACAGCCTAAGGTGCTTGGTCATGCAAATATTGTTTGAAGGAAGTCCTTCAGCATCTACCTTATAGAGAATTTTTAGCTATAAGCAACAGAGGACTGGGTACAAAGACGTAAGTAACCACTTCAGTGAGGTGTAGGAGTTGTCCCAGCTTTGGGGCTTCTTGATGTAATTGAGTGTCAATGCAAATTGATCACAGTTCAGGTGGGAAATGGACATTTCAGATTTCAGTGTGGCCTCCACAAGTCTTCTGTGAATGTAGAAGTCTACTGTGCAAAGAGAATCAGTTCTGCTTTTACCTTCAGTGCAAAATGTAAGATAAACACACTATTCAAATTGATTGGCAGATTTGGTATCCCAGTTAAAAATAATTAAATGTACTGAAAAGACTATTGCTTTGGATTTACTGACCTTGATTTGACTCAGTGTTGACTGAGGCCCGTTTTAATCTTGTTTTATATCCCCCTATTCTTTACCCTCAGCCTGTATATTTTCAAAGTTTCATTGCATATTATTGAAAAATGGAAAACCAAAAACCAAAAAACAATAAACAAAAACCAGTTAAAATTGAATTTGAGGATGCATGAAACAGTATGTCACTAAAAAAAAAAACAAAACAAAACAAAACAGAATTTAGCATTGTGTTATGCTCTAATCTACACTTACAGAATATTTCAGAAAAATAGTTAGTGTAAAAAAGGGTTTAATTTATTTTCAGATAAAAGTTTCAAATTCCAGCTTCTTCATTTACTATGACTGACATATTTTCAGTGAAAGCAAAAAGAATTTAATGAAACCATGTAAATTATATGTGACGTAGGATAGGTGAGATACAAGCTGTGCATGTGTATCTGTGCTTTTGACTAGCCTTCAGTACAATACTGATTAGAAGGTGGGTGGGTACTTTTGCCAGGTCCTCAGCAAGTGAGTAATCTGACTCCCCTGAAGCCAAAACCCCAGTATGAATCATATATACAGCACTCTGGTTGGTTCAACTTATTTTTAGCATTCTTTCATGAAATAAAGGTGCTTTTTCTTTTTTCTACTCCACAGGACAACATTTTTAGAATGGAAGATTCTCATTTTGAAAATGGCCGAGGGAAAAGCCCTTATGATCCTAAACTGCTGACAGCTTCTCTTTTAGTAGGTAGGTGCCACAATAGTTCAATAAGAACTGTGTTCAGTATGAATAATTGCCAGTTTTCAGCTTTTTTCTCCTTGCAGCATCTATAATAGGGCTTCTTTTTTAATGCAGTTTCCAGACTAAAATAATTCTGATTTCATTTTTAATACAGTTGACCCAGGTGTCTTGAGAAACAAGGTGTGTGTAAACAAAGATTCAGGTGTCACAAGAGCCACTTTGTACCACTGTAGGATTCTGTAAAGCATTCCTGCTCTTCAGAGCTAGGTGACTCTGGACATATTTTAATGCCCAGGTCACTGACTGGCCACACTGATGGTCACACTTAGCAGAGCTGAGCACAAAGTAAGAGCAGGAATAAGTAATTTCTTACATTAGATTTGCTGCTGAGGAAGGCCTGTTGCCTAACTGTACCTGAATGTGAGCTGGAAGTATACAAGCAGCTACAGGTCTAGGCCATAAGATGATGTTTCAGTTGAAGAGATCTATCTGACAGTGAATGAAATTAAACTCCTGGCCAGAACAGAGGGCTTTCAATAAATGAGGTATTTCTGAATTAGTAATACTTTGCTGCATGGAATACATAAGTATAGCGCACCTGGACTGTGTTAATCTAATTGAACTAATCCAACTGATCGAATTTATCTAATTGATTTAATTTATCTAACTGAATTAATTCTGTTTATTTTTATTCTTTCTCCTTTAGAAAAAAGGCAAAAATGTTTTGTGAGACAATGTTGAAGTGAAACAAATAGATACATCTTTCCATAATGACTCTGCTCAAGTGTACCCACTTTGTCCTTAACGTAATTTTCTGCCCACTTTTTACAACATCAAATCTACCACATAGTTTCATAAGCAGCAATAGTTTCATAAAATTGCAGATTCTCTTGTCTCAGAAGTCTTTGGAAAATGACACATAACCAGGTAGATCAGTTTCTCCAGGACTTTGTCTATAGTCTAGGGCCTTGCCTGCCATCTACCATTATTGTATTTTCAGTATATGTAAAAATTGAGCTATTCAAAATAGACAGCAACAAGCATTTAATTCTAAGTGTGCCTCATTTCCTGATCTTCGAAGCCCCTGATGATCACAGCTGATGAGCTGCCCTGGGGACACACACTCTGTAACAGGAAAAACAGGAAAGACGTTCACATCTTGCTCCAACTTGTACCCTGTAGAAACAGAAAGGAAAAAAATGTGTGTAAAAGGCCAGTGTATAAATTAGTGCCTGGAGCAACTTGAATTTGTGGCAGAGCTACTCTCAAGGAAATAGCTTTATTATTTACTTTAATATACAATAAAGAAAGAGAATGATGACAAGCCAGTATGACATGGTAGACCCGGTATGCAACTGCACAAAGTCAACAGCGTCTAGCTTTTCACATTCCTTTTTTTTTTTTTTTCCACTCAGTCCAGCACAAATATGATTATCTTGTTTCCCTTGGCTTAGATTTCAACTCTTTAAAACATCTTTGCTTTCTTGAGCCCATCTCCTATCACTCTAATTTTCACTCCATGTATTTTTTGTCCCAATGAACAGTAGACTGTGTGTGATATTTTGTTTTGAATCAGTCTTCAGTTAGAACCAGGGGTGTACTAACACTATAGAAAATGGCACAAATTCAACATTCAAAGCCTGTGACTCATTTCTACTTCAGTGACTTACACAAAACTCAAGGTGAAACTACAGTTAACATTCTTGCACCCTGACCGTGTACACCCTTCCTTCTCTGCCTCTTCATACTGCCTCACAGTCATATTTTATGACTGATGATAATGTTGCATTTACTTTGTTCCTTTACTAAAGAGGTTCCCCTGATATTGTAGAAAGTATACAACAGATGCACCACTGGTTTGCAATTACTTACTTTTATCTTTCCCAAAAAACTCATAAATTTTATAGTAAAATGGTGACCCAAGGCAAAGTAATTTCCTCCCCACAAAACAGGTGAAGAACATGGAATGAGCTTGCCAAGCATGGAGAGATTTGGTCCAACTGCTCTCTGAAGTAGGTAGCACTGGAATGAAGCAGTGATTAGAGCAGTGAAGACCAGAGGAGCCACTTGACTGCAAATGCCTCACACCATGAAGAACATGGATGGACTACTACTTTCTTCTTCTGAGCTGCGTGATAGCTCAGCTACTCCTGGACACTCTTGTGCCAGAAGTATTTGTCCTCACAAGCAACTATAGTATTTTAGATTCAGGAGGACAACTGTGTAAAACATTTACCCATCATTCATTAAAGTGTAATGTTATAATTAGTAATACGATGTAAGTATCAGGAAAATAAAAGAAGGATGAGGACTAAGAGTAATTTCTATGGTTAAATGCAAGAGATAAAAAATAACCTCTGTTCTTCATCAGACACACTAAACAGAGATTTTTCAAAGTGTGGAATACGAGTATGTTCTTGACCTTGTAACTAGAAGGTAAACTGTAGGTAACTGAAATGTAATTACCCAAGCTGGAACTTGGGCAAAACACCAAGGTTAATTTGCAAAAAGTACCTTAAGAGCTTTAATAGCCATTAGTGCTCAGGATTCCTATTTTATATTTCAGCTGAAACACACTCTTTATAAGTGTAAAGGATGTTCAGTTTTACCTCTTCGCCCCCAAAAACAAAACAAAACAAAACAAAAACAAACAAACAAACAAAAAAACCAAAACAGTTCATCATTGTTAAATTCTTCTGATATTTTTCCAATACCCATTCCTTGTTCCATCCACCTGCAAACATTTTTCATTATTTTTTCAAGAGTTGTTCATTAAAGGTAGTTATTGCTGCTTTACTCTAAAGAAAACTCCATCTGGGAACATGATATAACCAGCTCCTAGTAATATAAGACATTACTCATCCAGTCCCAGCTATGTGCTGCTAACTAAACAATCTCTATTTGAGCAGGCTAATGCATGAAAATGTAGAGACTAAGCAGTCTCTGGGCACCACTAGTGTGTATTCCAGGGCAGGAGGGAAATGAGAGGTAAGGTGGTATTCAAAGAATGTAATCACAGGAGAAAGCATCACTGAATTTATTAGTCTAAAGCAGTTATATTGAGATAGGTGGGAGAAAAATGAAACAAAACACCAACAAACACACACTTCAGAAAAGGAGGCAGAATTGTCCCATTGTCAGTCAGCTGCTCTTTAGGAAATGAACCTTTGGGATTTTCAAAAGACCCCTGCTATGCATGTCTGAAAATTCTTAATTTTAGTGAATGAACCTGCTAACCAAGGATAGCAGGTTTCATTTGGGAACCCTTTTACCAGTGAAAGCAACTGGGACATTCAAGGCTTGTTTTTGCCTATATTTCCCATCCATTCATCTTTCTTACTTCTTTAAGAATACAGTCTTCTTTAAAAGCTGAGTAGAAACAATTCACCAAATAAATGTATGCTGCTTATTTTTTAACAACTTTCTATCCAATGAACCTGGGGAAGCGTTCACAGTTCCATGCTGCTTATGTATAGCACCAGTGGGGTAAACTATTTCTTTCCAAAAAAAAAAAAAAAACAAAAAACATTGCTATGGGCTTTAACTGTTGCCTCTTTATTTAGTAAAGTAAATATATGCATTTCTGTTTGCATTTATACGTCAATATGCCACTGTTTTAGGATAAAGCCATTTGTGTCTAAAACATTGAGCTTTTTCCTATGAAAACAACAGAGGGCCATCAGTTTGTTCTGGACAGTCATTGCTTTGGGCTGCTGGGCCAAAAATACAGAGTGACAATTTCATTTTTTTTTCCTTCATTCTTTCCTCCTAAGAAAAGTTAGCCGGTTTTCAAGCTGTACCTTTCCACCTTCTTCTAAAAGCTAATGAAAACTGCTTTTTCAACTACTGACAACAGAAATGACACAGTGAAGACTAGCCATGACATAAGAGAATAATTTTCTAGTATAGCAATGAGTAGATTTCAGTCCAAAAGAAGACCTGCATAGGGAAACAAAGATGAGTGTACTTCTATCTAGACAGGAGCCAAAATCCTCATATAGCTTTTGAATAGTACCAACTCAAAGGATGTGCACATCTGGGACATGACTGGAGGCTTATCCTGAATTTAGCAAAAAAAATCTAAAGCTTTGAAAAAGAAAAAAAAAGGATATTCCTTACTATTTCTATCTGGGAGAAGTCACAATCCGCTTTTTGCATGACTACAGCAAATCAGTTCAAACTGCAGGCACTGGTCTAGATATACTGAAACTGGGAGGGGCTGTAGTAGAAAGCAAAGAAAGGTAAGATAGTTTCCTCCAGACCCTTCCCCCTTTGGAACATGCTGAAGCTCATTACTGGTTAAATTTTTACTCTGTCTCTACTGATGAAAAAGTACTACCCACTAGAGCCTAGTAGCATGAAAAAGTCTTGGGTTAAACTGAATCAGGCCTGGAAGATATGTTACTTTCAGTGCTGTTTATATACTGGGAAGCTGAGGTGCCAAAACCCCTTACTATTCTAAATCTTGCAAATATATTATTGTAATGAGTTTTTAAGCTATATCTCTTTTAATTTTAATAATGTAGTGTTAAATATAGAATTTTTTTTTCTTTCTTGATTGACCTTTAGATCTGTTGGTGACTAGGAAGCAAAATAAAGCTTGTTTTTTTTTTTTTTCTTTTCCCCTTTGATTTGTATTGATTTATCAGAACTCACTAGGGACTGAAAGACAAGAAAATGAAAATAAGGTTAAAGAAAGGTTAAACATAGCATCAAAGCCCTTTTCACAAGCAAAAATGTTTTATGTTCTTTAAAACCTCAGCTGCATACCCCATACATAATAATCACTATAATTAAGTGATTGTCTCCCCTTTAAAAAAAGTTGAAAATGACATAGAGGAATGATAAATCATTAATTAATGATATGCTGTTCTGTTCCACTTCTGATTACACCTCCTGCTGGGCATGACTGGTCTATTTGCTTCTAATCTCTGCTGTGAATTCATTCAATTCCACGCCTTTCCACTATCATGTTTTCACCCTTCCTACTTTCATGAATACCATATGGTACAGAGCCACTGTAGGTTCAATTGACAATTTCATGGTATCAGTGTTCTGGAGAAAAGATGCCAGTGATACCCAGTAGGCATGCTTGGATCTGGTTGTCTCACCATGGAAATACCTGAAATTGCCATGAGGATAATAACATTGTTCCTAAAGGGTGTTTTACAATTAGGGTACGGTAAAAATCATCATGACCATGAAAAATTTATTACCGTAGCTTAAAGAAAGAGTTATTTTATCTTCACACTAGTATTTTTTTCAGGAGACACATTTAGGATAGGTTGCTTGAAAATAGTAGTTGGAGGGAATAATTCTTTTTAATTCCATATTAAAAGTATAAGATAGGATCTTTTATTTCACATAAAAGTGTAAAAGAGCACAATCCTAAAAAGTGAATTTTTAACATTTTGAATTAAGAATAATTTCATGGAGAAGCTCTACATTAATGCCAGGAAGTTTTATGTTGTACTTTGATCAGTGGTTATTTTTATGGGTCTGATTACTATGTACTTATTATTATTCTCTTTACCAGTTGTGAGGTATTTAAATTGACCTGGTCCTTTGAGTTTAGACTGTCTCTCTGTCTGCTCCATGATACTTCTTGCTGGCTGAGGAGGAGCACACTGGGACTTTAATGTTATGAGTTTCATCTCCAGCTAGGCTATGTACATGCCATTTATGGGCTGAGTCATCACAAGTCAATTTTTTCACTGTGATATGCATGAGGTCAAGGTAGCAGAGAAAGATCTCATTTATTCTCTCCCTTAGCTGTTGCTCATTGCCAGTATCGCTGTTACAAAGGTGGCTGAAGGAGAAAATGTTCTGTCTTTCCTGTAGAAGATACTGTTTTCTGAGGATATGCAACAGCAAAAACAGTTTCTATATGAAAAACTGAAGGGACTTGAAAACTTTCTGAAGCAAAAGTGAATGAGCTGGACTTTCCAGTTCATAACATAGTCACAACTATCCAGTAGGTTGGCGGGAACCTGTGGAGCTTTCTATTCCAAAGTCTTGTTCAAAACAGACTAAATTTACAGTTATGTAGGTTTTTGAAGGCTGCATATTGCTGCCTGCCAGGGATAGGTGTACAAGCTGTCACTGTTCCAGCCTAAGAATCCAAATATATTTTGGAAAAGTGGCTGCACTGGGAGTCAAGAGATGCAGCTTATTTGAGGGAGGTTACAGTGAAGCTCTGCAGTGAGAAAGTAGGTCTACTCATATATTTTCAATGACAATACATTGCATATGGCTTATTGCTTTGTAATTTTCTCATTATCCCTATTAGTGTAATATAAACATAAGACTGACAGCTTTTTCTGACTTACCATGACTGGAAAATTGAGAAATGTTGCTCACAATTATGTCCTCCCACAGATGGAGAACTGTACTCTGGCACAGCAGCAGACTTCATGGGCAGGGACTTTGCCATTTTCCGAACTCTGGGGCATCATCATCCAATCAGAACAGAGCAGCATGACTCCCGATGGCTAAATGGTATGTAAAATGTACATTTATCCAATTATGTTCATCTAGCCATTAAAGACTAGCACACATCTTTCCAGCAACATCTGTGACATATACACGCCTCTTTTATTTGGAGCAGAATTTTGTCTTAAACCAGTTAAGCTAATCAAAAGTGATTTATAAAGAAGCATTTTTGTTTTAATTACATTGAGATTTGTGGAGTGTGATTAAATTTAAAACATATACAGACATTACTGCCAACGCAGTTATGCCACAGAGGAGATTGCTGTAGGTTTCAAAGTGGACAGAAGCTTGAGGCTTGTGGAGGCATCAACCACTTGTTAATGCAAAGTAACTACAAAGCCTTGGGCAGGACTGTGCCTTGTACAGGCTTTAATTTTTTACTAGATTGAAGAGTATCTGACGCTGGCTACCGGAGTCCAGCACAAAGTGAATTAGCAGAGCTCCCTGGGCAGGCGAGAGCTATCAATAGTTTGAAAAAAGTGAGGGAGGTCCTCGGCATT